CTTCCTGTACACACTCTACACCAACAAATACATCAGTCTGTCCACCAGGTCCATTAAATATTCTGATGACACAGCCATCCTTGCTGTACTCACAGWTGATGTCTCTGTTCTGGACTACAACACCACAATCAGCCACTTCACCCACTGGTGTGATAACAATCACCTCCATCTTAATGTAGTCCAGACTAACGAACTAATAAACAGCTCTCCTACCTCCCAGCTCCTCATGATCATCACCAACCATCTGTCTGTCCATCAGTCCGTCCGTTTTCTTCCACTTATCTGGGGTCGGGTTGCGGGGTCAGCAGCCTAAGCAAAGAGACCCAGACTTCCCTCTCTCCAGCCACCTGGACCAGCTCATCTGGGGAAATCCCAAGGCGTTCCCAGGCCAGTTGAGAAACATAGTCCCTCCAGCGTGTCCTGGGTCTTCCTCTGGGTCTCCTCCCAGTGGGACATGCCCGGAACACCTCATTAGGGAGGCGTCCAGGAGGCATCCTAACCAGATGAGCCACCTCAACTGGCTCCACTGGACGTGGAGGAGCAGCAGCTCTACTCTGAGTCCCTCCTGGATGACTGAGCTTCTCACCCTATCTCTAAGGGAGAGTCCAGACACCCTGTGAAGGAAACTTATTTTGGCCGCTTGTATCCGCGATCTCGTTCTTTCGGTCACAAAGCTCGTGACCATAGATAAGGGTAGGAACGTAGACCGACTGGTAAACCAAGGCTCAGCTCTCGCTTCACCACAACAGTCCGGTACAGTGCCTGCATCACTGCAGATGCAGCACCAATCCACCTGTCAATCTTTCGCTCCACTCTTCCCTCATTTGTGAACAAGACCCCAAGATACTTAAACTCCTCCACTTGGGGCAGGACCCCCTCCCTGACCCAGAGAAGGCACCCTACCAGTTTCCGGCTAGAGACCATGGTCTCAGATTTGGAGGCACTGATCCTGATCCCGGCCACTTCACACTCAGCTGAGAACCGCTCCAGTGAGAGCTGGAGATCACAATCTGATGAAGCCAATAGGACCACATAATCCACAAGAAGCAGAAATTGATATACAGATATAGAGCCAGCTTCTTTAGCCGAGGATCGGACCGCCAAGGTCCCGTCCTCAACCATTGCCCAGCACACATTGCACCCGACGTCTACGACCCCTCCCACAGGTAGTGAGTCCATGGGAAGGGGGACCCACATCTCCTCTTTGGGCTATGCCTGACCGGGAACCATGGGTGAAAACCCGGCCACCAGGCACTTGCCAATGTACCCCACCTCCAGGCCTGGCTCCAGAGTGGGGCCCCAGTTACCCGTGTCCAAGCAAGGGAACACTCAGTCCATTTATCGTACTCATCATTGGGGGTCTTTGGGCTGCGCTTTGTCTGATCCCTCACCTAGGACCTGTTTGCCTAGGGTGACCCAACACCAACCAAACTGTATAAATGGAGGGCAGCTTTAAATATGTTGGAGTAACACAGGACAGTAAACGTATCACCATATCACAGATATTCTAAAACAGAGTCATCAGAGATGATATGTTATCCAGAAAGGTTAGTGGACTCTATGTTATTCCATGTCTCCTCCTGTCACTGTTACAGCTATACCGGTTTCACTACCTGTACTGCTCTACCTGCTTCACTACCTGTACTGCTCTACCTGCTTTACTACCTGTACTGCTCTACCTCCTTCACTACCTGTACTGCTCTACCTGCTTTACTACTTGTACTGCTCTACGTACCTGCTTTACTATCTCTACTGCTCTACCTGCTTTACTACCTGTATGGCTCTACATGCTTTACTGCCTGTACAGCTCTACCTGCTTTAATACTTGTACTGCTCTACCTGCTTTACTACCTGTCCTGGTGTACCTGTTTCACTGCATGTCCTGCTATACCTGCTTTAATACTTATACTGCTCTACTTGCTTTACTAAATTACTGCTCTACCTGCTTTAGTACCTGTCCTGCTCTACCTGCTTTAGTACCTGTCCTGCTGTACCTGCTTTACTACCTGTCCTGCTCTACCTGCTTTACTACCTGTACTGCCCTACCTGCTTTACTACCTGTCCTGCCCTACCTACTTTACTACCTGTACTGCTCTACCTGCTTTACTACTTGTACTGCCCTACCTGCTTTACTACCTGTACTGCCCTACCTGCTTTACTACCTGTCCTGCCCTACCTACTTTACTACATGAACTGCTCTACCTGCTTTACTACCTGTACTGCCCTACCTACTT